GGACAAATGTCACAACAAGTATGAGAATGAGGATACGAAATGAATCTATTGACAGTTACAGTAGTAATCGTGATAATAATTGTAACAATCATCTTCAGAACACCGGAATTAACCCGCCGTCGCCGAAGCGGCAAAAAATAACGACTGACATCAATAACGTAAGTAAATCAAAAAAACTATTCAGTAATAATCTATGAAATACCTTTTGAATTATAATCACAAAACTTCATATGAGTCAACTAATCGAAACAAAATTTATGATCATATTACTGGCGATAATTCCAAATATTTTCAGACAAACGACTTACCTGGACCATCTAACCAACCACTAATGAAACATCTGAAACCTACTAACGCCGTACCAATGATAGTAACATTCGCCGTAAGTGAATTAGAAATCCTTGTATCTTACGTTTTTCATATTCTTTCTATAAAAATCTCCAAGGATCGCAGTCTGAAAATATTCTGTGCGATAATAATGATGATAATATTTGCAATAATAGTCAGGCAACACGAAATATTCTAAAATATATTTTAACAAATATCTGTTGCAATGAACATTTGATTGGTTGCAATAACTCGTGATTCGAGTCAAGCGATCAACATAAAATTAGTTCCTACCGAATTCCTCGTATCAATCGTACTTATTTTCAGGACTCACCAAATAACGACAACTCACCAGCAACAACCTCACGTCCGGACCTAACACCTAACGCATCTCCCAGCTCACCAACTCTCACCACCTCACCGTCCTCACCCTCCTCATCAACAACAACTGACAATTCAACTCACCCGAGCACTAACTGCACTTACAATTTGTAAGTTTTTTTATTCTTCTTCTTAATTTACAGTTTTGATATTTCATTTGGAAAAATTTCCTCTACCAAAGAATGTTGTTTCTTGAGGTAACATTTGGAATTCAGTTTATGGAAGTTTGGGTTTGGTGGGTTCTCAGAGAAACAGAATTATTTATAATTTGATTGGTCTATTTCAGACGTCATCCGCGACGTGAGGTTAACAGACTAACGACCCGACCTCGTCCGCAGGAGTACCAGGCCACTAACATCGCCTCACTAAACCCTGGACTCCTGGCCGAGCTGGCAAAGCCACTAACAACACCGTACTCGATCCATAACAACAAAGTTTGTAAGTATTACGATTAAAATAAATTTAATTCTAGTTATTAGTCGGTTTGAAAATATTTTATTATCGCAATTTTCATAGAGAAGAAGATGATGAGAGCACGATTTGGATTCGGTTAATGAAAGCTTTTGCATAATCCATATTTATATCAATCATCTGCGATTGATTGAAAACGCATGAGAAACTAAAGGATTGATGCTTTATGGTCATTAATCATAACCTTATAATGCAGTCTTTCTTATAATTAATTACTTTCAGATTGCCAGCTCGAAGGCTGCACCAGGCGCGCCACAC